AGCTTATTTAGTTTAGGAAAATTTTGGTTAGATTTAGTGCATTATAAATTTTGTTTATTAGGAATTTGCTCTGAGCCATTTTTATCTGTTTTTTTCCAAGGACAATTTTTTTGCAAAAATGCTTTTGGGGCTATTCCTGATATGTAAAAAAAAAAAATAACAGCCATTTTTGCTTAGATTATGAGACACTGTTAAAAATGCTTTGGGGCATAAAAAACCTATTAATTTTATGAAAAATTTTTTGGTTAGATTTTTTGGTTAGGTTTCTAGAATGTATATCTTTTTAGGCTTTAGAGGAAGCAAAAACAGCTTAAAGATAATAGGATAAATAAGGATTCTATAGCCTCCCATAGGCTGTTTTCCAATAAGAAATCATTTTTTATGCCCAAAATCCGATTAAAAGTACAACAAAAATGTAAACCAATTGTAATTCAAGGTATGCGGAAAATGAAAAGGAATTGTTTTTTAGTTAGATTTATTTTAAGCTAAAAAAAATATATAGCAGAATCATTTAAAACCACCCAACAATACCACAGGGGCTTGTCCCAAAACCCAAAGTGCCATTGTGTAGAGGTCCAAATCATCTAATTGTTTCATCAGTGTGAAATAGCCAAGAATGCAATTTAGGCAATTGAAGATTGGAAGGTGAAAAAGTGGAACACAACTTTATAAATAACTTGGCCCATTTCTTTCTAGAAGCCTATAATTTATAAATAAAAACAAATTAATGAATGTCAAAATTATACATGCAGCCCAAAGTATTTTGACACTGTCATAAAAGGGGTTACACATGTAGTAAAGGGGTGTTACACTTATGTTTTTAATAGTGAATGCTGTAATTAATCTCTACTTTCTACCATCAAAATTGGAATAATTTTGACCATCAAAATTACCAAACCAATTTGGGCTGCATGTATAGTCAAAATATTGAAAGATTAAACTTGATTTTTTTACTTTGAATTCAGACAAGAAACTTTTTGTTGGTTCTTCTTCACAACTCTTCATATATATACATCTCATTCCATAAAACAAATAACTTGGATATTTTACAATCTTTCTCTGAATCCTTTAATATACCATCCATTACAAAAACAGATATTTTCATCAAATCATGAAATTCATTTGCTGCCATTTTTTTTATTGTATCAATTTCATTGTGAAATATTTTCAAACCCTTGAATTGTGGAATTTGTGCAAAACATTTATTCATTTCATCATCAGCTGTTTGACCACCATGCAATTATAGAAACTCACAAGCATAGGTTATTTGATATTTGAAAAGGACAAGATCTAAATGATGCATATGATCAGGAACTGTAGCTGTATAGATATTAACATGTCTATATTAAAATAATTAATTTTATAGTTGGCTTGGTCTAAAGACCTCCTAAATTTTGGGCAAATTTTAAAAATATAGAAGTCACTTTCTGTCCTACCTTTTAAAAAAATA